CGAGCCCCAATCGCAGTGTGTGGTGTTTTCTGCCATGCGCCGGAGGACTGCTTAGGGCAGCAGGGAAGCAGACAGACAGACTTCCTCTGTCAGTGTCAGATGCCGAAAACCCAATTGTCTGTATCCTCCCAGATATTGCATAACATGCACTGAGAGAGCTGGAGCAGCCGCAGTAATTAGCCCATTAACCCTAATGTGTCTAAATCATCTGGACAGGGAAATGGCTTACTGTGGCGCACCACTTTACTATGCCTGCTTCAACCTGAAAACCCACATTATGACAGACATAAAGCCTTGATTGCTGCATGTCGATTGAGATTTGTTCCTCTGCGTTCACCAGTCGAATTAGCTGACTATTAGGAGATACATTTACAGAAAAACTAACAGATTATTAATTTAATAACTGACAAACCAGCTAAAGGATTCGAGTATAAATGTAAAATCACTTAACAATCAGGCCTTTCTCGTTCCAAAATCATAATGACTTATAAAAGAATGCAGTATGTTTATAACTTGTGTAATTGTGAGACGATTAGTACAGTATAAGACGCCCTGAACAACTGTCCTGCTCATTTGGCATGTTTGGAGACAGCCGCCATGCTGGAAATGCTGTCCCAGTCTAACTTTCAGTCGACCTAACAACAGGCTGAGAGCTGGAGATGAGGCGGGTTTTAATCCTGTTGACGAACCGTTACATCGCCCCCCCTCACCCTGTCAATCATGTCAGCTACGCGCATAACTATAGATAACAAGTAGTAAATATTGTTTTTTGTACCAGCCTGTAAACATGTGCATTTCTGTTGTAAAAACAGACTTCTTTGAATGTGGTGTGTCTGTGACTTCTGGTGCTTCTGTACATAAAATCTGGAATATAAGTCGCACCAGGACGCGCCCTGCTTTTGAAGGTCTCTCAGAGAATAAAACAAGTTGAAACTGTCTTCCTGCGTGATGATTTCCATTGTGTGCCACAAAGTCTACAACGTGCAGTTTCTGTGCAGCTGCATCGCTCTTTTAGGTGTCTGTTTTCACAATGTGGAGTTTGCACTCCTACCAGCTACAGCACGGTGGTCGAGCTCTCAGCCTGCTGTGAAAGTTGTGAAGTACAGACCCCTCGGAGCTCTCTGCTCGACTCCGCTGCTCGACTCCGCTTGTCACTCTTTAACTTAAGACTCCTTTAATCAAAAGAACACGCCACAAGGTTTATTTACGGAACAATATACCCCCCGTTTTCTCTAAATGCATGATTACGACCTTGTGAGGGAGAAAAGATGTGAAAAAGTCACACAGCCAGCCTGGTCTGTTTCTCCAATTATTTAAAGAAAATACATTCAATACTTTCATAAGCCATGAAGCCCAGTTTTTAGCTTGTTCTCGCTTTTCATGATATCAATCTTTATCAATCTTTATTAGACCGTACTCTTTGTTATGTTACAAAGACCCGGCATAATCCATCATGAGCACTTTAGCAAAGGAGCAAAAGTTACAGCGGCAAGATAAAAACTTCCTCTTTGGAAGTTGTAAATCAATCAATGTCAATCAGTGTACTTCTATTGATGAAAGACGCAACAGAAAACTCAAAGTACCCCTCTTTTAAAAGTGACAATTTTCTACTTTTCTCATATTTCCACACTTTAGAATAGATGCTCTGGATTTTAGACTTTAATTGTACTAACATAATAAAGTACTTAAATACTTAATTAGATATTGAAGAAAGATCCAACTTCAGCGTGTGTTTTTACTGAGATAAAACCCTTAACCTGCTTCTCAGTGAATGCTCCCGATGATCTCTCACTCCGATGCGTCTCCTCCTCCAGGAGCCTGCGAGCCGTTATCAGAGTTATCGGCTGAAAAGAACAATGAGGTTATTCCCCCCGCACAGAACAGACAAATCGACAAGCTTTGGCCTGAAATAGATGAATATGACAACTGAAGGAGTAATCTATCCGAATAAAGCCTATTAGTTGAGTGATATAATCAACTTTGAATTGCATATCGATCGGCACATCAACAATGATCAAGGTGTGTCTACTGTAGCAGAAAAGAGATGATAGTGAAACCTATTTTCCTTTAAGTATTATTGCTCTAGAAGCCCCCTCCACCCTTCTTATGTTACACACACACACACACACATTTCACCCCTCCAGTAATGTATCCATTTCCTCCCCCCCCCCCCCGCCCTCCCCTGCTCCTCTTAGTCGGGGTGTGTCCATCCATCTCCGTGTCTGGCCGGGCTCTCGGAGAGTAGCGGGGGGCTTCCCATCGCAGTCAGCGGCGGAGCTGTCCAGCCAGCACTCTCCCTCATTACCCCCATGCTTCTTCTTCCTGAAAATGCACTTTTAAAGCACCTTAATTGCATTGGGGAGATAACCCCGTGGGCGCGAGACAGGAAGCCTTGGCCATATAGAGCTTTAAGGGTGGAGTGAGTGTGTGTGTCGGGGTGGGGGGGGGGGTGGAGGGCTGAGGCTCTTTGAGTCAAATCAATGGCCCATCCAGAGGCTAATGCAGCTCTGGGCAACTCCTCAGGAAGCATTAAGACTATTAGTGCAGGCCTGGCTGGAACACACACACCACCGCACACACACACACACATACACACACACACACACACATACACACTGAAACAGCACACATGCACTTTATCTATCTGTGATGCATTTACATTATTTGTAGATGCAGAGGAGCTGAAACGATATGGATGTTGATCCTAACGTGTTCATGCTTGTTCTCTTGTTTATTGCCGTTTGTGTGTTCATGTATGTGTGCACTTGCACGTGTGTGTGTGTGTGTGTGTGTGTGAGTAGACTTGTTGGCGAGACAGTGACACACAGACGAGGCAATGAGGCCAAAGCTCAGAGCACACCAGACTGAACCTACATCTGCAGGGTCAACACTCACAGCAGGGAGTGGGCTGCAGTCGTGTATTGTGTGCAAATGTGTGTGTGTGTGTGTGTGTGTGTGTGTGTGTGTGTGTGTGTGTGTGTGTACATCTGTGTTCATGTTTGCACAATGCCCACATATTTGTGTTTTTGTCTCTCTGCTTGTGTAAGGTGTCTGCCTGCACAGAATAAAAAAAAATAAAGTGTGAATGTTTGTTTCTCCTGTTTCAATGTGTTTGTGTGTTTGTGTGTTTGTGTGTTTGCAGCGTTGGGGAAGCTACTTGTACAATGTAGTGAGCTAAGCTAATAGTTCCTTAATTTCAAATTAAGCTTCACTACACTTACTTTAGGTGCAGCATTGCAGCACTAATGATACATTTTGAATGTCAACATCATAAAGTACGCCTCTTTTCATTCATTTGCTTCCAGAATCAAGACACTGGGAAAGATTGCTTTACGTTGCACATGAAATTTTAAGCATGAGGTTACAAATGCAATTCATCAAAATTTGGGATTTTTTTTTTAAAATCTTTTGATAGCCCTCTTATCAACTTTGTGAGCCCACATTATATTAAACGTGGTTTCCACCTTGAAAGCATCTGCTTTTGAAATTTGAAATGCGACAACACGCAAGAGCAACAAACCAAGTTGGATTGTACAGAGTGGGATGACTCAGTCCGGTTGATCAGAACCCTCGACTGGAAGGTCGAGGGTTCGATCCCCAGCTCCTGCAGCAACATGTCCGATGTTACCTTGGGCAAGACACTGAACCCCAAGTTGCTCCTGCTGCTTCGTTAGTGGTGTATGAATGGGATTAGTTACTCAGTCAGAGTGTGAATGTGTAGGTGTGACCTGCGGTGTAAAAGCGCTTTGAGTTGTCTGAAGACTATAGAAAAGCACTCTATAATCTCAAGTCCATTTAACATAAAGAAGACCCTTTTATGTAGCATTCTGAAAAAAAACAAGTGAAAGGTTGACAGTGAACTCAAATGTTTAGCATTAGTGCAAGAAATCAATTAGAGGAGTAACATTCTAAATCCTCCTTCTGTCAAATGTTTTCGCCCTACCTCTAACCCCACTGCTTTTCCCTGGGACCTTTTTTTGTATCTACCTTAAGCTCCGCCATTATCATGGAGCTATAATTTAATTTGTCCAAAGCTGCTCTGCTTCATAAACGTCTCCCTTCGCTAGAAATTCAAGTCAGGTGTGAAAACATGTGACTATTCAAATGTGCAACAAAGCGTTGCTGAGAAAAGTGTGCATGCACAATTAACCTAACCAGAGCGAGACAAAACAGACCGACGGTGGAAATGTCGACATGATTTGAATACAAAACACCTGGAAGTGCTGTCGCTCGAGTACTGTTTTCATCCACTCGCGAGTGAAGGAGCGGCTTCCAGGCATCAATGTTTGAGCACCTCAAACTGTGTGTTTGTCCGCTCCAGGCTTTATTAATTTGCTGTGCCAGTGAGTCAGTGTCCATATTTAATAGCCGTGTGGTTTTCTATGTCACAACCCTCCCTGACACTGCAAGTATTGAGCTGTGATTCAGACAAGGGGTGACAATCCTCTAACAGAGACACAAAGAGAGAGAGAGAATTCAACACTCACATACCGAGCACAACAGGCTCACACTCAGATTGGGACACAGCACGGAAACATATGATTCACTCCTCAAACTGCAGGTGGTCGCCTCCAGCAAACCCTCAGGGCGATTCTTCCTGGTCTGTGAGTATTTACAGTCGAAACAAAAGACGACACGTAATGAGGCTGCTCGACACTTAGCAGGCCGTAGCTCCCAGCACACACACACACACACACACACACACACACACACACACACACCGAGAGACATGTCAATTAAGCGTTCGTAACAATAGAAAAGAGCAGCAGAGTTCACGGAGCACATTAAGTTAACCATCGCCAGGCTAGTGTGCAAACAGCAGCCAGTAAACTGTCAACAGCTAAGTGCAGAATACAAAGGAGTGCAGAGGAGCACAACACATACAGAAACAGTATACGTTAGATTATAGATGAGGGGAGAAAGGGACAAAATGAGCCACTGAGGTAAGTTGAGCCACCTCCTGTTTATGGGCATTTTTGCAGTGTTGTTGTTGTTTATTTACCACATTATGGACTGGTCCTTACACGGTTTACTTCATTACAAAACTCGTACATGTTCATTGAAAACTATTCTGCACAATCACAAATATAACGGATCAAATATGTTTTTAACCTGGAGCAAATAGTTGTTTTTGGCCATCACCGGAAATGTTCAGCAAATTCAAGGAGTAACATGGTGTGGCAGTAGCTCAGTCAGTAGGGACATGGGTTGGGAACCAAAGGGGCCGCCGGTTCAAGTCCGGTAAGGACCATAATGTGGAAGTTGGTCTGGTAGCTTCCCGAGCACTCCTGAGGTGCCCTTGAGCAAAGCAAAACCGAACCCCCAACTTCCCTGGTGCGCTCTCAGCTTGTAGCAGCCCCACTCTGACATCTCTCCAGTAAATCCACGTCCACAGGTCCTGTTGGTGCATGTGTGTGAGAAGCATGTCCCTCTAAAATAACAATAATAGTGTAAAACCGAATTTCCCCTCAGGGATTAATAAAAGATATCAAAATAAGATATCTACTGAATTAAATCATATAATGATTTACTATATGATCAGACATTAAGAAAACATGCTATGATGAAGTTCAGCAACTGGAAATAAAAAAAATACATAAAATCAGACATAGACAGGTTGAACAAAATGTAGACAAAGCTCGTAGTTTTAGCAAAGAGATGCATTGACTATTTCATGTGTGGTTGTAGCTTAGCTTGCTACGTTTCTCCTGTAGGTGTAGCTTACTGTATGTGGTGTGAAACCCTGACATAGAGGCAGGAGACCACTCTGCACTGCTTATTCTGTGATACAGTGTTTGTTTTTATTCTTGAAAGGCTTACGCTGTTGAACCTTAAGAAAGGTGTATTTATTTATTTCCATGCCTGACACAGTTGTGGCAGAAGGCTGTTCAACACGAGTCGGGTTCTGCTCAAGGTTTCTGCCTGTTAAAGCAACAAGGTGTAAGATTTCAGTTTGGTGCTCTTTGGCACCGACCGATGGTCTCAGAATGCAACTGCACTGTTGTAAGTCGCACATTGCTGTTGCCCCCCCCCCCCATCCACAGCGGTCGCCTGCTATTAACAGTAGGTAATCTTGGACGTGGGCCGCGGCCATCTTGCCAGAAGTGTGTATGACTTTATGGCTCTAGTTCACACAGCAGCCTTCAGCTATCTCTCCACTGTTACACTGGCTGAGGAGGACGAGTGACCGAGCCAGACTAAAGGGAATACTGGACGGGCTCTCACATGTTGGCGAGAGCCTCGTGAAACAGCAGTTAGTGAAGCATAAACAGAATGTTCTACTCTCCACCGACTCGTCTCGTAAGCCTCGCTAATGTTGGGGGTGCCTCTTCCAATGGTGGACCATAATTCGATGAGGAGATTGTTTTGCTTGTCTCTTTCACTTTCATTACAGCCTCCTCAGCCAGTGGGCAGCTCTTTCAGGGTTTTTTTTGACAGTGATGCCAGGGAGAGCAATGTCTGATTCTGTCCAGCATGTTCCATCCATACACCAGGGATTTTCTTTTTCAGCTGATTAACTCTCTGCTCAGACAAACAAAGGAGACAGGTATGTGTTTCATCCGCACTCTCTAATGAGCAACACGTTTTGTCAGATCATTGGAACACATGCCAGATCCACAGAAGCTGACCTTGATTACATTTTGTGTGAAGAGCAGGCAGTTGGTAAAGAGCCGAGCAAACTTCTGTGCTCCTGTACACTTCAGACTTTTTTACGCTACAGTCTGCTTTCACATCTATCTTACAGCCCACCTATTACAAAATGTGTTTCATTACGAGCAACATGGGAGACTTGGAGGATAGAAAAGCAGATAACCAGCTTGGGAAACAGCAAAACGATAACCAGAAAACAATAATCTTCAATAACAGAGCGCGCTTCAGCAAGCTACTTTTTAAAAAATATTTTACTGCGGGCTGTTTTTCGAAAGTGCAAGTTGTCAAATTTCATCACATATTTTGTTCATCCTGGCACATTTTTTTCTATTTTTTAAAACATACAAGAATACGTACAACATGAAAGAAAAGAAAAGAAAAAAATCGAGGGAAGGTACGAAGAGAAAAAGATAATTCAATTCAGATTTAGAAATGAAGAGAAAAAAAGATGAAGAAGAAGAAGAAGAAGAAGGAAAAAATAAGAATTCAGCAAGCTACTTGACTATTGAGAGACATGCTGTTGAAGCCCCCCTGAAATGACCTTTTTTTTTTAACATAACTCAGCGTTTTACTAAATGTTTTTGTTCGGTTAGGCACCATCCTAACTTTGGTTTACTTTCAAAAAGTCACAAGAGAAAGCGGCTCACCTACTGTGGAGCCGGCGGGGGGTCGCAGAGTCGTGGACGTTCAGTCTGTTCTGTCGTCAGGAGTTGCAGAGGATGTCATCAGCACAGACCCCTCTCCTTCCATCTGGAGAATTAGGAGAATATCTTATCCTGACATCAAAGATCACTGCAATATGCCTCGGCCTTTAGAAAATCTGTGTCAGTGTGTCTGAAGATTTGGTTTGCATAGGTGTGTCAATGCATGTTGTTAACATCATAGAGTTAACGTCTAGGTCGTTGGTTCAATCTATTGCTTAATTTCCATCTGGTTATATAATCGCAGGAAGAAAAGCATATCACAATTCAGACCAAGAGCTGCACCTTGTCAGTTACCTTAACATTTGTTGGACCTGCTTATAGTGGAAACAGCCTATAGTGGAGTCTTAGTGGGATTAGTATGATTAATCGGCCACACGATAATATCAGCCAATATTAGAGTATCAAGTGAGTATCATATCGGCTAATTTTATACGACGATATCAGTAGATTTATTCACCAGTCAAATAGCATTTCAATGTATACTAGCAGTTCTCTTTCACCAGCAGGGTGCGCTATATGGATTACAACAAGCACTAATACTCTCCAGAGTGTGTAGCTGTGATGCACGTACATGCGCGGTAACTTTTCAGTTAAGTGACCATCTTCATTAAGTGTTTGATAACTACATTTGAGGGATAAACGCAATAAATGCTTGTATCTATATCTATCTCTAAAGATCCAACGTAGATCAAAGAAAGATATTTGACGTTTTATCAGATTTTTCCTCCTAATATTGATATTGGGATCGGTATTGTCCCATAAAATCCCATATCGGTCGGGCCCTAATTAGATTTAAAATGACAGGACGAATCACCTACCATATAACAACACATATAAACATCCTCTGATCAGAGCTATCCCGCCTGAATAGGCTTTTCAGTTATTTCCTATCTTTTTAAAGATGGTTTTTGCAGCTTCTTCTTCTTATTTTTCCGTTTGAGAATAATGAAGGCTCATCTGTAAATTGTAAACAAAGGTGTGGACAGCATTTTAGGTGCAAATCCAGCTGGCTAATCTCACTTCACAGTATGAATATATGGTCCTTCAGTCTGTACGCTGCACAGTGTGATGCTGCCCCCATAGACAAGGTGGTTATCACGCAGCGCCTCGGTGTTCTCATTTAGAAATGTCAGGCTTTGCTTATCCGTGCTGCACCAAGACCTGACTTTGTGGAGTTCCCAGGTAATACTGAGCCTGTGCCAATAGGGCCACTTGAAGGAAGGTAGCCTTGTGGGTAATATTTGCTTCTGATGTGCTTTTAATGGGACTGTCTGGGACATGGGTTAGTGTCACGTCTGACACAAAAATCATATTTTCCTTCGGTAGCAGCATCTTTCCTGTATGTATTTCAACATGTTTATTATTAAAGGCTTATTATAAAGATTTTGTACTACTCCGTGATCGAGCTAAGTGTAAGGATGTTATTGATATGATAAATGTGCTTTGAGGAGTATTACCGTTTTTCTTCACAGGCACATTTTGTCACACTTCTGAATATTTAAAACAAAAACAAACACGTGTTTCTCCTCTGCCATGTTCTTTACGGTGAACATGTTTTAGATGTGAACCTTGAACTCGGGTGGTGCATGCGTGTGTGAGCTTTTTTTCTGAGGGGAGACTACCTGTATGCTGTAGTACGTGTTTCCACCTGGGAGGTGAATAAAGTTTCAGAAGGGAATACAAGTTGTTTAAAATGAACAAAAAAGACCCAATTGCAGAACTCAAAAAAAAAAAAAGGTTTCATGAAACAAAAAGGCAAAACAAAGCTCACCTGTTCAGGAGTCCAAAAAAAATAAATCCATAAATATCCAACAAAACTCGAACAGAAATCGCAATTAGGATTTTTAACACTTTTTCCCACTTACATTTATCCACAACACTTCCATAATAACATCAGATTCTCTTTCATTGTCTGCCATTTCTTAGTCATCCTATTTGCGTCATATTCTATCTCCTTAGACCCCCCCCCCCAATCCAACAGAGGAAAGTCTCCCGTTGTGAGACGTGCATATGTAAACTGGCAAGTAAGGAATATTTCAGGGGCGGCCTGTCAAGCGCATTCAGTGTGAAAAAGGCTGTAGTGTTTCGTATGCATATCGTGTCGCAGGTTTTTTTCCCCCTCTTCGGTGCGGCTCTGGTTTTCAGTGTGAGACTTTCTGTCTCTAAAGTGTGCGTTTACCTACACACCTGCCTGTCTATTTGTCACTAGCCAACATCCATGCTTACAACTGGGACTCCCCCTGGTTGCTATAGTAACTCCACTCGGGGGGGCTCTCGGTATGCCTCACCTGAGCAGCTCCAGACTGAAGGACGGAGGAGCCACAGACAGACAGATGTGCCGCGAGCAAGTGTGTATCATCATCATTATCCCCGCCATGAAGATATCACCGTGGAGACGTGTGTGTGTATGTGGGTATGTCACGGTGGTTGCAAAGGGGGGGGTGGGCGGCCTTGCCTTGCAGACTCAGGAGTGTGTGACTACACACCTCCGCACCTATATAATATCATGGCCATCATATATTATGGAACCCCCTTCCCCCCCTGATGTTTGTCGTTTCCCTGCTGCAGAATCATAGTCGAAGGGTATTTTTAGGCGAGTGTTTCCACTCGTTCATAACCCGACACAGCAAAGCTTCACATTGATTTTGGCATGCAGGATCTCTCCTGCTCCCTCTCTGTCTTCTCCACTCTCTTTGCTTCTTTTCAGCGTTCCCTTTCCATTTCTTATCCTTAGATTTCCCTCCATCTGTTTTCCACAGCCTCCATCCCCATCCTTTTTTTTTTTTCTTCTATTCATTCCCTCCGCTTCTGGCACTTTGCAGTCTTTCCAGCACTCTTCCTTTTTCTTCCATTCATCACTGCATTTCTCTCCCCTTCCTCTGCTTTCATATTCCCTGTGCCGTGTCACAGCGGCTGAGGGCCTGCCACGAGCACAATCTGTGGTTACCTGGATATATGTGTGTGTGTGTGTGTGTGTGTGTGTGAGTGAGAGTGTACAATAGTACCAGCGGTCCTGGTGGGGTGGGAGACACACACATCATCCGCAGGGCAACAAATAGTATTTTTTTTTTTTCCACCGGTGCTAAAACACATTGCCATCCGTGGAAGAAAGGAGAGATGGGAAAAAGGAGGGGGGCTGGCCGAGTGGAAAAAGGTAAGAAAATGAAAAGAAGAAGAAGAGAGCAGCCCTTGCGTGGTGTTAAAAATACATCCCTGTTCCAGATTCTTTTATGCTTCTCTTAATTCTTCTGTTGCCTGTTTGTGCTCAGGCTTTTTGTGGGCGTCTGCAGTGCTTTCAATCTGTAAAATCCCACCTAGGATGGCCTCTGGATAATTTAGTCTCTTTTTATTCAGCAGCCATCAACACAGGACTAGAGCACAGCTGTACTGATATCCATACATGTGAGAATTCAAAGGAAAAATCTATTCAGAAACAGCCTTTAGGGATGCAACTTACCTCTTTGGTCATTTGTCTTGTGTAGGGGTGTAATGGTATCGTCAATTTGACCATATCGCAGAGAACTACTTGGACAGGTCTTCTATAGTAAAAAGGGTAGTTTTGTTTCTGCCGCAGTTGATCAGAGCAGAGGGAAATGGGAACTACAGAGACCATTGTCCCATGCACCCCCATTATCCTTTGCGCTCCGCTAGCTGCATCAGTACAGCGAAAATGGAGGACACCTGGAATTAGTTGTGAGGGAGAACAGAGGCAGGATTTAGAAACTGAAGGAGAAGGTGACGGACAAATAAAAAAAACAATATGTAGACACTGCCGGACTGCGATGACCTACACGTCGAGGGAACAAGAGTAACATGAGAAGCCAATTGGAAAATCTTAACCCTGAAAGATTTGAGAAGTTGCCAGGCCATAAGACTCTTTAGGAAACATTTGTCTAACCCAGGAGGTAGGTAGGTAGGTCGGAAGGTATAGCAAAGAGACATAAAACCTTATTGGAATGCTTGCTTTCCAGTAACACATTTGATGAAAAAACACAAAACGTTTAAATGAAGACCCTCCATGATTAAGCTATTGTACATCTCGTCTTGCAGCAGCAGTAACCTGCCACAACTGTTTGGCTGAGCAGATTTAGGAGGAAACCTGCAGCTGCCCTGCCCTAATAATGATAGATGTTGTGCTGTCAGTGTGACATGTTTTAAGATAAGATACTTTATCAATCCCTCTATTATTGAGACATGCTACACACACATAGGCTGAAATACACACACACATGCACAGACATGATCCTATGGACATCCACTAATGTAGAGATTAGACAAAGGTACCTCGGCAGTGCTCAGGAAGAGAACTCGCATCGCTCCAGCTACCAGACCAATTTCCAGACATGTTCCGCACTGGGACAGAGAAACACAAGGATAAGAAACAACAAAATAAAACAGGAAACACTAAAAGCTAAACTTGGAATTAAAGCAAAAAAACACACACAAAAAAAAAAGCAACACGAAGGGAGAAAGACAAAATAAAACGGGATCCAACACTGAAATAAACAAAATACAAGACCGAAAAAAATGAAATAATCAGGATTAGATCGTCACTATCGAGCAAGTTAGACAGTGTGCAGGAACATTCGAATCTCAAAATAATGAAAAATAATATAGTATGAAATCGTGGTGAACTGCTCAGAGGATCCCTGAAGAGATGCAACAGGTTGCATTGCATTGCAGAAAAGTTGATTATGGTTGTAAACAGTAAGAGGGGCGGTGCTGGTCTGACACTTTAAACGCAGCAGTATCTCAAAATGTGCAAATTGTGGAATGACAGTAGGAAACCTCCCTAATAGGGCCCCATTTGACAGCACTCACTCTCGTTGCCCTGCTTAGCATCTCATGTATTATTCCTTCATTTCAAATAAACCACTGAAGGAATCTTTCTGGGAAAAAAAAAAAAGTGGAAAGTTGGAACACTGGAATTATCTTTCTGGGAGTGAAAAAAAAAAAGTGGAAGAGTGTTGGAACACTGGCAGTCGTAATGGTGGATGGAGGGGCCCCCAATACATTTTTGCTCAGGGCCCCAACAGACTCTAGAATCGTCACCGCCACACACTGCACGCAGAAAGAGAGCCCATCTGGATGAAAGTGATGAAACCTGATTCCAAGTAACATCACGGCTCTGCAGCTGTTTCCTCTGCAGGGCCAATGCTTCTAAACAGGACTGAAAGTAGTGCAGCACAAAGTCAAAGCTTATAAGACAAGAGATGGTTTTTTTGTGTATTCATGTGTGTGTGTGTGTGTGTGTGTGTGGTCAGTGAACTAAATCATTAATCTGGTTGACAGTTCTGTGTGAGCTCGGCAGCACCGTCGGTTGTGAGGAATTACAATGAGACACACCAGGCGTTGTTCGGAGGAGCAGTGAAGCTCCCCTGACATCCGTGGCATCATTAAGAGCGTTTAAAGTGGCGAGATGGTGATGGGCTTATGTGAGGAAAAGCAAACATGAAAAGGGACAAAAGGTGGGCAGGTATAGCAAGAGAAAACAATCATTACAATGATATTAGGTTATATTTACACTTTCTCAGATATTTTAAGAAATACATTTTTTGAAACGTGAAACTTTGTTGTCCCTGGAAATGTGCTCGTTAAATGTAAAGAAAGAAAGAAGACAAACACAATGAATCAACAACTTTGTGAACAACGTAGACCTTTAACAGTCAAGTTATTTCCTCATGAGTTGGAAATAGAATACGTTGAACGATAATGAATGGGATAAAATTCACCAGCTGTACTGATGCTACAGCAAAGGATGATGGGGGCGCATCGGGACAATGGTCTCTGTAGTCCCTCTGCTCCACTATGGTTGAAACCAAACTACACTTTTTAATCAGAAGTCCTATCATTTCGTAATGTCTCGACGATAGAGCCCAACCGATGAATCGGGCAGACGATAATACCGACCGATATTTGCATATCCAGTGACAATCAGTATCTGCAAATTTGATCGCAGATAAGCGCCAATATCACTGGATATATTCACCAGTCAAATAGCATTTCATTTGAGTTGTATTGTATTACACTAGCAGTTCTCTTTCACCAGCAGAGGGTGCTATATGTATTACAACAAGCATTATCACTCTCCATAGTAGATGTAGTGACCATCTTGTCTTCATTTTATATCTTTTCCACAAGTGTTTGAGAGATCAACGCAATAAATGTGTATTTCCTTTATCTCTCTCTACAGATCTAAGAAAGATATCGGCCGATATATCGGTATTAAGATTTTATTTTTCTCTCCCCAGCATCAACGTCGGAAGCAGAAAAATCCCAGAAAATCCCATGTCGGTCGGGCCCTATGTCATGATTGTATCGAGACACAATAGATTCTAATAATAAAACTAATAAGTACCACCTGTAGTCATACAGATATGCAATCTGACATGTTCCCAGGAGGTCAAACAGGTTAGAAAATAAAGAGGAGGACGTCATGACTGAGGTATTTTTATACTTTCTACAATATGTAAACATAAAAGGCTCCTGCCTCATTTTACTGTAGTCTGTTCCGGTTGAATTCCCACATTATGGCTTTCAGATCTCCAAACACACACACAGAAATCATAAACCTACAAACACTCACACACACAACGATGGATTGGATGCGCACCACACCAGCCACTACATCTTCTTATTTGAATTTAGTTCAAGCCTCGGGATCCCTGGGGGCATTAGAGCAGTGGGTGGGTATTATTTCTCTTTTTCATCACCCTCTGCTTCTTTCACACACACTGAAGCACCTCAGGGTGGTGATGATTCATAGAGACCCAAGCTAGGATAGGATGAAATGGATGAGGGGACAGCTAAAAAATTCTGTTCATACAAGCGTTTTAATGGTCCCCTTTTACTATTGGGTGTTTGATGTTTTCAGATTTCTCGTCTCATCAGGGGCCTGGGAGCGTGTAAGGGCGCCTCTGTGCGACCCGCTGCCTCCCAGTATGCTGCGTCACTGTGGCTGACAGAATGATGACTGAGGTTCCCGTGCCATTAAGTGGCACGCTGATGCCACTGATCTCATTCTGCTTAGTTCACAACCGACTACACCCTTTATGATAAGAGGGACCACATTTCCCAGGAGGCAACTGTCTTCTTGCCTGGCTGTTGGGGTGTCGAGGGTAACGGCTGCTGACTGTGCCTGCTGCAGAGATTCCAATTATAGTGTACATGCCAGGGCGTGTGTGAGGGGCGGACGCAGACGGACCCGTGTGTGTTTGTGTGTGTGTTCAATTGTGTGTTTGAATGAGAGTGTGAGATTGTCAGATAGTGACAGTATAGATTTGGTTGAAAATGGAGAGTAAAGAGATTCAGCCTACACATGTTCACACCCAATGTGTATGCTTGTGTGTGTGTGTGTGTGTGTGTGTGTGTGTGTGTGTGTGTGTTTAACATGACTCGACATGCTCTTCTCAAAGTTCTCATTTCTCATGTCCTGTCCTGTGAAAAAAGCTGCTGCATCGTCCGACATCTTGGACATGAAAAAGCAACAGATAATATAATAATATATAATAATAATAATATATATATAT